GTAGCAGAAAGTGGGATCTAAAGGGGGTCCGACGGGGGACCCACGTTGGTTTTGCAACCCGAGCCCTAGTCGGCCCGACTTGGGCAGCCCACCTGGTTTACCCTCGTTGGACCTGCAGGGGGCCTACTTGGGCATCTCACCTAGGCTTCTGTCGATGGACCTCTTAGTACGATCAGTGTAAATTCGCCTTTATTCGAACGCGGCAAGCACAGCATTGATTTTATACCATTTCCGTTTAACCGCGACCAACAGTGCATGTCAATTTTGAGCAGCGGCGGATGCAGGAATTTCCTGAGGGGGGGGGGGGGGGGGGGTCAGGTGTTGGTCAGCGTATCATATGTTCAGGAACCCCCTCCCCCTCTCCCATGTTTTAAGGCCTAAATTTTACACGTGCAAAAATCAAGAGGGGGGTCACGGCATCCGCCACTGATTTTAAGTCACCATTTCAACAAAGTTGAAAATTGGATCTACAACCTACTCGTAAATTCAAAGTTTTGAAATTGGCTTCAAAACTAAAGAACATTGCCAGCCACAACCTTAAAAGTTTCTTTCCTGCAATTACCCTAAACCATGAAAACTAAGCTGGAATCTATTTTCAGACACTCTTATAGCTCTGGTCACGGGCGTGAATAAGTGAACCGGGACAGAAAAAATAAATATTTCTCGCTATCGCCACTGAAGGCATATTCGGCTTCATTGACGTTTTGAGACTTAGATTGCCCAAATGCTTACGTTGTCTCACGTTGAATTGAGACGGAACGGCAGAAAATCACCCATTATGGTGTTTGTCATGTTTCTCTACGGGCTCTGTCATCGCTGAACCAATCACAAATGAAAAAAAAACAAAACGATTGACTTGCGCTTGTTACGTTGCTTGATTGGTGCCATTAGCTCGTAGCGTCGGCTGCGTCTAGACTTAAAGGAACACTGAGACAAAAAAAATTATATTTCTTCCCAGGCGATTTAATATAGTGTCAGAAGACTACCCAATCAATATTTTATTAGAGCGTAACGCATATTTTTATTAAAGTCAAACAACGCAACTGTTCGAAACCGAAACCAAAACTGAACTGCGGAGAGAGCAGAAATGTAGAGGGGGAGAGAGTTGCGGCAAGTCACGTAACTACACCCCACCACGTTTTTATCATTTGTTTTCCTTCGTTTTTCTGGCCGTGCGAAGTAAACCAAAAACGCGCACCTCGCCAGTGCTGCCAGATTGGGCTATATATAGCCAAATCGGGCTACATTTTTTTCCAGTTGGCGTCAAAATTTTGTGGTTGGTTATGTGGCTATTTTGGGCTATTTCTAAGAATGCGGCGAACTTTTGTCGAACCTCAGGTTCGATGCTGAACTTTTAGATTCGGCTAGTTAATTTTCGATTTTTTAATCAGTTTCGAAAAAATAATTGTTACTCTTTTGGCTAGTCGAGAGGAGAGAGAGGAAGGAGAAAGGCTTCAAACTTCTACAAGCTTCGGGGTTTTCACAATGCGCAGTGAAGCAATGCTTGCAGAGTTCAAGCGGGCTCCCTGCAGCGCAGTGTAGCAAACCAAACAAATTGCACTATTACCACAGGCCCGGTAGCGCGTCTTCAACCCGGACGTAGACTGAACTCTCCAAATGCTGCCTTGGTGCCCATTGTGAGAATCCTTAGGCACCCAAGTTTGTAAAAATGAGGAGCCTGCAGTTTCACCGCTAAGCACTTGACTACCTTCCAGTCGTTTCCCACCCCAAGAAAGGACAACACAATCAGAAATAGCGTGAACATAAATGGTTGTCACTAATATTCTTCACAAAAAAAAAAAGACGAGTGGGATATTGGTATAGGACCTGAGATATTGGGGTTCTGATTTGAAACACTCAGTGTTCTGACTGTTCTGCTTCTGTATTTTGTTCTTTTACTGTATCATCATATCGCACGGGCTTCACAATAAAGCTGTCTCTGTGTGTTTTGTACCTCTGAAAACCTACGAAGGAAGGGCCAGTTTTGTACAGATTTTCATCCTTCCGAAGCTTATTTTGAAAAATTCACAAGTAACATAATGTGCACAAAAGGTGGTGCATCTGAGGGTTGAAACAGAGATTGTAATGTGTATTGTAGGAGTGTGAGGAATTGTAAATATAAGGCTTAAAAATCATTGTTTCTATTCTTGGCTATATTGGGCTATATTGTTTTTACGGCTTTGGCTGTATTTGGTCTATACCTCCCAGTTGTTTGGCGGTTTTTGATGGGACCATCTGGCAACACTGCATTTCGCACGAAACACGCAAAAGACAGGCACTTCGTGCTTGACGTTAACGCGTTTTTCAAGCTGCTACCAATTCGTGTTCGTAAGACAAGAAATGTCTTCAGCCGGGAGAAGGGGCGACGACTCGGCGACGTCTTTCTGCGAATCAGCTTGGTGGTCGGGCGCGCCTTACGGAATAAATCCTAATTGTTTTGATCTGTAAACGGTTTATCTTTCGAAGGAAGGCAGAATTCGCCGGTACCGCTAACAACAGTCCTGAAGTAGAGGTCCCACGCCCGTCATCCGCCGCCGTCGCTTAGTCCGCTTCTTTCAGCGATCCAGCACGCGACTCCCGCGATACGACGCCATGTTGGGAATTACGCAGAGGATGCACACAGAAGGCATTTTTCAATCAACATATTTGCAGTTCTTTAGAGGCCACAAAAAAACGGTATTATACTTTTTCTTTGTTTATTTATTCAGGTAGCTACAGCGCCCTGGGGCATATACAGTAAAGGGGGGGGGGGGGGACGTTGACACTGAAACATATAATTATACAAAAGCTAAGACAACAATAATACCATCTCACAACAAAGTTCTGGCTCTTTAAAAATTCGGTTACGAAACACTACGAGGTCAGTGTTAAATAAAACATACCGTTAGGAACTGTTGTGTTCGGCTATCCCGGGGGTGGGAACGGACAAATACGAGATATCGACCAGCCAGGTTGAGCACACGAGCGAGAACATTTATTTTCCTCTTCCTTCATCGCGCCAGTCTGCAGCACGTGCGCCGCGGTTACACGCTTATAGCACAGGAACAATGGTAAAACTGAGTCTGGCAAACCATTAGAATCCCGCATTGTTTTAGGGAAAAAATGAGTTCATAAAAACATCAGTTTTACAGCGGAATTGCTTAACCTTACATGTGGTCCTTCCTTTACGATATGCAAGGTGGCTGGTGAATGTGTTTTTTGCTGTGAATCCCAGCCCTACGTTGAAATATGTTATTATATATTTTGAGTCGAAGGCTCTCCCTCCTGGAGCTTAACTCCCTTCATCTGAGTCCCTTTTCGCACGTGACATACCAAGTCGCCTGTCGTAATTGTTTAAAACAAAACGGGCAGCCCGGTTTTGTACTTTCTTTTTTGAATAGCTGTGTAAGGGTCTCACATGGTGCAAGCATATGGTAAAATTTAGCGAACATGTGGAAAATAAATGTTTCCATTTAGAGAAGGTGGCAGACACCTAAAATTACGAGAGGGTGAGGTCAAGCATTCTTGAGGCTTTATAAGCAGTTTAATTAACGTGCTAATTCTAACTTAGGGTTGAGTTTAAGAATACCCTAAGATATTTGTATTCGTAGGCGACAATGACAGGTTTGTTATTAATTGTATAAGCACCGGGGAATTCAACAAGACGTCTAGTAAAATAAATATGAGCTGTTTTTGATGATTAATATTTATTTCCCACAGTTTGCACCAAATAGTAATAGCATTTATATATGACTAGAATGTCGATATCATCACTCTCTCGTATTTTTGGACAAACAACGCAGTCGTCAGCAAAGAGGCGCATTGAAGATGGCATAACATTGACGATATTGTTCAAACTCAACATAAATAACAGCGGCCCAAGAACAGATCCTTGGGAAACTCCTGATCTCACGTCAGCGCATTCGGATTCCGCACGACGTATTGTTTAGGGAGAAACAAATATTCGCGTATTCGATATAACAGTTCTTTATCAATTTTTTAACCGCGAAGTTTCGCTATTAACAAATCCTGGAAGACATAATTGTGAGTCTTCGATGACCGACGACTTTGATCATACCTGCTGTTTGTGCCTAAACCATAAAGAACGGGAGGTGACAACGGAGAAGAGAATGAGCGCAACTCAAACCGGCTAGTTCTCGATCGGCTGCTTTCGAGCGGAAAGAAAACGAATTTTGAGCTCCAAATCGTATTCTGGGTAGTTGGGCTCTCATATGTCATGTACAAATAAAAACCTTGGCGAGCATAATTACCCTGTCGGTGTCCCTTGAAGCTGAAACGAAGTATAAACAAAAGTCTACTTAAATGAATGAGTAATGTCCACGTCGTTCTAGGTGGATGAACAGGAAGATCTGGTCTAAGACATAACAAAAACAGTTTTGTCCATCTTAGATAATATTCTCCAGAGTAAAGTTATGAGAAAAAAAAAAACAAAAAAAAACAACATAATGTTGGACTCCAAGATGCCTAAGCTCAAAGGCAAATTATGTTGCCAATGGCCTCTGCCCCGCTGGGTGAATATACATACCTCATCGGGGGGGCGAACGAAGCAGAAATATTTTTTCGATAGCATGAACGGTTGTCAGTTAGATCACTTGTTCACAAGCATGTTTTTGATGCCAGACTATGATGCTAAATCCTAACACATCATTTCAACAAATTGTGTTTAGCATACTTGCAAGCAGAGTTTTTTCAAGGATTCTCTAGTAATAGTACGCAGAGAAAAGGTGTCTCCATCATAGCTGCAAGCACAGTTTCTTGAAAGAACCTTTAATATAACTAGGCCAAGATAAGCTGTCGTTGGCATATCTGTTAGTGGAGCGTGATGTAAGATCTAGTAGGACTAGGTCACGACAAGGTGCTTTTAGCCTATTTGCTAGCTGTGTTCGATCTAAAATCTTCTAATATTAAAAGTTAAAGTCAAGGTGAGTTTAGTATGCCTACAAGTAGATTTTGTTGTAAGAACATCTGGTAAGACTAGGCGAAGACACTGTGTCTTTACCATGCATGCCAGCAATGTTTGTCGAAAGTTTTTCTAAAAGGACCAGGCCACGATAAGGTGTCTGAATTATTTGCCTACCATGTGCTTATGTTCTTTTAAAGAAGCTGTTTCCATAAGAACGCCAGTTTTCTTAAACGCGATAGACGCGTGGTTGTACAATCTCCGCCACCTTGCCATGCAGCTATCTCGACCGACGTCCGGTACTCCCCTGCCGTGAGGCACCAGAGGAACCGACCCGCCCACCCTGACGCCCGGCAGTTGGACCAGGCGCAGCGCAGCTTCGAGGGCGCCCTCAAGCTGCTCATGCGATGGTGAGTGACACCCATGTACAGTGGCGTAGGCGAAGAGGGGGGGGGGGAGGGGGGGGTTCGGAGAGTGACACTCCCCCTCCCCCCCCCCCCCTCCCCCACCGGTGGCCACATTGGCCCTACTCGCTACCCTGCTCTTACAGTCGGTCTTGCACCTTATAGGCTTTCGGGAGGAATGTTTGTGGGGTAGAAAATGCTCAAATAAATAAAATATTCAATCTTTCTTTATTCATGCTTATTTGATGGGATGCGGAACTTGATCCCTGAAATATAGACGGATATTTCGGCACATTTGTGGGGTGAAGGATGGCGATTTCAAGACAAAGTATAACAAACTATCCTCACTGAAATATATAGTTGAATCAAACTAAAGCGGACATAACAAAACGCAGACATGTTGATAATATAAAACATTGTCAGTGATGTAAAGAATATTAAATGAGTTGTAAAAACAATTGTTCTGTAAACATCGGGTGGCGCTGCAGTCACGCACACCTTGTGTACTGATCAGAATTATGTGCTTTTGACTAGAAATTACCGCGAATAAAAAAGTAACTGTGACTAGTTATTTACGAAAGAAATTTACAGGCTCTCTTTATAATTTCATTTATGCCAAGCGCCTACATATTAACATGCAGCCGCCTGCGTTCACGGCAAAGAATATTCAGGATGTCCACCGCTTGAACTTCAATGTCGCGGTGAACATTCAAAAGCATTAGACCGAGCAGTCGCTTATTCGAAGTGGACGCTCTCAGGTATGTTTTCAACCGTTGTAGTGAAATGAACGAGCGCTTAGCTTCCGCCGTTGTTACTCGAGAGTCGCTAGGATCTTGAGGAGACGATGAACGTTTAGGAATAGGGCTTCGGGACAGAGGGCGACCGCCTGTAGCGCAGACGTGACGGGCGTTTCACGTTTCTCCCTCTTTCCCATTGGAAGTTTTCCTCACTTCGTGAAATTTCCCTCCATCGAGACGCCCGTCTCGATGGTCGATCACGGATGCGATGAAATCCGTCTTGCTTCCTGCTTTGCATGTCGAGGTGGCATCTTATGCAATTCCTTATTAGATTAATCTTTTCGTTGCACGGAACATCAGAAACTCCGAAGGGCCTTCATATTCTCACTACGCATAGGCGTGTGGTTTGCGTGTTCGTGAGTGATGTGTGATGTCCTTTCTCCGAGTGACGGAACGACAAGTTCGGATTGACGACTTCTAATCGCCCCGAGGATATGCCGCTGTTACCATTGGACCATACTGCAAAATAAAGCGGCCTATCAAAAATCAGACTCTTTCCTTCGGCATCTTGTTTCGTATTCCGAATTTGTTAAACCTTTAATAGATAATAGATTTTGGTTTTTTGATTGTTCAGAATTACCCTCGACCTAGATATGGGCCCCTAGTGTTTGTGCAAGGACGGTTGCTCTAAATTTTCTGCGTAAAGATTTTCTTTTTTGCTGCTTAATTTTTTTGTGACAATATAGCCTGCCGGTAACAGCCAGGTGGCGCCAGTAGAGTGAGAGCCGAATGTTATACCCTGCCTTGGTGTAACTTGGCAAGAGTGAACTATAAGCCCCCCCATTGCGTGCCAAAGGCTTCGATATCCGCTACGTATACGAGCGCAACGCACACATATTGGAGCATGACGCAGCAGAAAGCCTGATACTTCTTCGCAGTAAAAGCACACTCCAGTGATAAGTAGTCCCGTCCTGATTGCCCGCCAGGCCGCAGCTTCCGCCGTGCTTGAATGTTATGAGATCACGGCTTTCTGGCCTACCCAGTATTTCTTGCTTCAGACACTAGGCTATAGCGGCGCCACCAGAGTAATAGCTCACGTTTGAACAATGCAGCTGCCACTCCCAGGCATATATAATGTTTCTTGCTTCAGTCGCTAGATAGCGCCAAACCAAACAGTACTACAGGTTCCCTATATACCAGTATCCGAAATCCTAACCCCCAGTGATAAAAATGTGAAATAATAATCTCAAGCGCTGGCTGTTGTGAAGAGAGGGCTTGTGCATAAGACAAGGTTTTCGCTCTTTACATCACTCTTGGTATTGTTCTCAGAGCTTCGTGCCTATACCTTTCCGACCTTCTTGCACCACGATATGTGGGAAAGTTTCTAAAAAAAGAAAAACGGAGTCTCGCAAAATGCGCAGCCCCCCCTTCCCCTTTACTTTGTCATTGCGTCAGGCGTCAGACAAACAATCATGGCGGCGCCCATGGAACAGAGCAGACGCAAGTCTATAGCTATTCTTGTGTTTTGTCTGGCCTTCACGCGTTGGCAATGCAGTGCTACCTCAAAAAGCTGGGGGAGTTGTGTGCTGTGAGGAAGCTTTTAAAGTTGGTGGGCCGCAACTACGACGGCAGGAGAACAGTGAGCCATCACGCCCGTATTCCTGTAATAAAGCCTGCTCCGTTTTTAAAAATGACAATGCAGCTTTACCTGTTCTTAACAGCGCCTCGCTAATCTTTGCATGAGCGTCCGTACCGCCAAGCTCGCCCTGCTTCGGCAATGGGGGGGGGGGGGGGGGGATTCACGTTATTGGACCCCCCCCCCCCCCCCCCCCCGAAATAAGATCCTGGCTATGCCACTGCCCATGTAGCACGCCTGACAAGCGCCTAACTGGGCACCAGCTTGGCAAACGTACCAGTCTTACTTGGGCCTAATGCGGTTTTGCTCCAAGGCATTAGTTAGTGGTAGAGCCTTTTTTTCGATTTCATTGCTTTGATCTGGCTCGCCACATAATTGCCAAAGTTCTAGAGATGAACAACAACCACAACAACAAAAAAAAAAAACACATATGAGCCTAGGATCCAACAGCGGAGCATAAATCCGCCAGTAGTCTCATGTTTTATGCTCAGAGATGCATAAGGACAGCCAAATGACAGACGAATGACAGACGAATTATAGCCAAGTGAAAGCCAAATGAAAGCCAAATGACAGCCACTACAAGCAGTGAAGCCTAACTTTGGCGCTTAAGCGAGTTAGTGCTAGGATACCCAGACTCTGTTTAAAAAAGGTCAAGTGGCTCTAACTTTGCTTTTTTGAGCTTCTTAAGCCCTAATTCTTCAGATAAAAACCGAATTTCGGCCCTAAGAACTGTGCTACCTCGGCAAGCATCGTAAGCACAAGACAATTCTTTCGCGCCCTGTACTCTGGTACTATAGATGCATACAAAAATAGGATACAAAAACGAAGCAAGGCCCTTACACTAACTTGTACCTATATTCGTTTTATGCTAAATATAGCAATAGACAAGCGTGAGTCTAAGTGAACAGTACTTCTTCTGTCTAATCAACATGTCGCTTTTAATAGCGCGATTAGTGTTTTCCTCTTTTATTGTGTATTTTTTGTCCTATTCGACTTTTTGGCGCTTCTAGTCTTACAGTGAACCAAATAGTTCAAGTGTTGTCTTGTTACAATTGAAATAAACTGTCCGTATGTACGATCAGTACACGATCAAACCCTATGAGCTCCAAGAAAGAGACATGCTTCGGCGCATTGAATACCAGTTCCGGCTTCTCTGTGAGAAATGTAATCTCGCAAGTGTTCTGCTCGTTACCGAAAACAAAATGTAGTAAAATAGAGTTACTCTCTACGTCGTTAACATTTAACGCGTGACTGAGATGTGTTTCTTTCCTGTAAAAGTAACAAAATACCGTTAGCGTTACTCTTAAAAAACTAATGAATGTTATAATTTCCGTAAATTCAAATTTCTGTATTATTCGCAGGGCTAAGCCGCGAGTACTAACTTTGTAAAAATATTACTTTACAAAATGACCTCATAGCTGTTTATTATGTTTTCACTAAATTTACAAAAAAAAACTTTTTAAGACTCTATGGGATCAACCTTTTTCTTCAAAATTCCATCAGAAAAAGCTAAATTCATTAGAAAGACAGATGTACGTTTGACAGTAGGACATGTGATTTCTCTACGCAGTTTACAGGATTAAAATAAATTTATCTTTAAGCTGCAATAAAAAAAAAAAGAAATAATAGAATATAACAAGAAACGGGTGAGCTAATTTTATATATGATACCATAGTATAGCAAAAAAATTATTTGCTACTTAGTAATTCTGAAACTAGTAAGCTAGTGCGTCACTTAAATTAATAATGCGTTGGAAGTAACGTCGTTATTATTACCGCGCTACTTCAAACACTAAATCTTGTGACTGCGCTCGAACGCGTGACTTCAAAACATTCTGACTCTTTGCTTCCTTGGCTGGCGACTAAATACGTTACTCGTTAGTGATTATTAAAAGCCAACGCGCTACTTTACGTCAAAATAATATAGATGTATAAATATTACTTTTCAAGTAAAATTGCTTATTAACAGCAAGTGTACGCATTTAGGTCTTTGCTGTTTTCAACGTCTCCTCCGTCCGTTGCTTTTTCCTTTTTTATTGTGATGTACAAGTCGGATTGTAAGCAAGGCTTACGTTGCATGCCTTTCTAATTAAAATTAACTGCAACATTACTCGTTACTGATTCGAAAAATAAGAAAAAAAGTGCACTACTTGTTTCTGTGTTAAAATAGGATGTAAAATATTGCTTCGCTGAGAAAGAAGTGTAAAGGGTTACATGCAGCAGCGTAAGTTGTACAGTTTCAAGAAAATTCTCGGCATTATACCTACACCATTTAATGTCGCTCAAGATTCGAGTTTGATAAATAGTGCAGCCAAGGCGCGCGCAAGGGCCAACTATACCCAACATTAAGAGTTAAGAAGATTTTCAGGACAAACAAGACGCCACCATATGACTTCAAAGGCAGTTTTCTTGCTCGTTCTTATGCATGAAGAATTTTTCGGAACTACGGTCGTGCTCCTAGTGTTATGACAGCACCGAACACTTCCGAGAGGCGGCATAGAACCCAGACTAAACGTTCTCGCACACTAGATCCGTCAGTGCTCATATCTTAAACTCACGCGCGACTACATTCCCGGATAGCATGATGGGAGTTACCAACAGATAATATCGAATGACGAAACGAAATAAACATAT